TGGATGTTGGATGTTGGATGTTGGATGTTGGATGTTGGATGTTGGATGTCGCATGTCGCATATGTCGCATGTTGCATGTCTGGTAAGCGTAAAATGTTGCATGTTGGTAAGCTTGAAATGTATGATAATCATATATAAATAAAAACAGCACAATAAATTATGCCGGAAAAAGTTTAGGAAAATTTTATATCGCTGACACCTTTTGCTAATTGGATTCACATCGCCCATAGTGCAATTCGGGCTTATGCAACATGCCACAAAACCTTCACCAATCTTTTTTTGAAATAGATGTATATCTGATGAGTTTAATACAGGTAACAGTTCACTTCATAAATGTGAAGACAAGAACAAGGATTTGATAGGAGCGGCCAGGGTTATCATACTGACTCTCGGTTCTGGATTATTTTTACTTTGATTGTCAATTTGTATCAATTGATTTCTATTACCATGTCCGTTTTCGAATTAACCTTTTCGTATGCACATGAACGTGTCCTCTGGCCATCCCACGCTCATCAAATTTCCGATACATTTAACTATCATCACCTTTTACTCCTCATGTTTTCAACATTTTATTCTGAAACTGCTGAAAAGTAAATATGATTCATTCAATTTATGGAAGGTCCAGAATTTATTCTGAACGCGTTTTGAGACTGTATCTCTTTTTGTATTCAGGTTCAATGCAGCAGATTTTTCTCTAGGTAGCCGTATTGCGGGCCGTATCGTTAGTTGGGTTAAGACGAGGGTATCTACTGAAGTGTTTTGATCTCTAGTCATGGCTAAATAAGGGTTAATTCAAAGCGTTGTGGGATATTAAAAAGAATTTTAGCTTAATCGGGCTACAGCTAGAATTTTATCTTCTAGTCATGTCTAGCACGCTCCACACACACACACACACACACACACAAAGTGCAGAACAGAAAAGAAAAGAAAAGAAGAAAGAAAAAAAAAAAAAACAACAACAAAAAACAGAAAGATCAGATGAAACTATGCATCTTACATCAGTAACATATGGCTTAGATTTCAATGATGACCTTTAATTTAGTTTCTTAACTTTCACAAATGCGCAGAAAGAAAGCCGAACACTGACCAGGAACAAATAAAAATGAATCATCAACGAAAATCATAAACTTCTTATTTAAAGGATCAGTCCTTGATCTTCTCAAATGCGCACAAGGAACGAAGAAATATCGATTACCAAAGGAGAAATATCGATTAGCACAAACAATCAAAAATAGAGAAAAATAACCCAACTTAGCTAGTTGTCTATTCGTTTTCCCATCAATAGCTGAAACAAATGGGTGCGTATTCACCTTTGACAGCTATCCTTACTCATTTTTTTTTTCTCTAACCCATTAACCCTCTGTTATGTACTTCCGGTACGACACGCTTTCGGCTCGCGTTCGGAAGGTCATTAGATTATGACGTGAATCAAATGTTGTCAACATGTCTGTTTATACCGTAAATGGTTCTTCGTAATGCATCACATCTGAAGGTCGCACGCTTCTTACTGAGTATGTGCACTTGGTTATCTATTCTTTCTGCGATATTAAACAATCAAAGGTAAATTCAAGGACCCCCTTCATGAAACATTGATAGATACGATTTACTGCATTATCTTCCATAAATAATCTTCCAAATCCAATGTTGATAATAAATTTACGCCGCAACAAAAAATGGCAAAAAGCTGAAGGTGATATTCCTTATTTTACCGGTCTAGTTAATGATATGGTTATATCATAGAAATAATACTAAAGGGAATGACATGTGTCTTTGTGGTGTGCGCAATCCATCTGTGCAAATTACTTATACTTATATACTGATCTAGCGATACTGTAAATTAATTCTTCTTTTTTAATGCAAATGAGCAGAGAATGAAAAAAGAAAGGAAAACTAAATTGAAAAAAAAAAAGAAAAGAAAAGAAAAAAAAAGAAAGGACTAAAAGAGAGAAAGAAACCGAGGACAAAAATCTTAAATCATTAGTTAGATCTTTAATAGACAAATGAATCTTGTCTTTTTCTCTTCAGTTCCACAAACCCTCAACTACACCGAGTTTTTCAGCTCTGATAAGTTCTTCAACATGATGACAAATACTTAGTTTGATCCATATCGCCTACGTTCAAAAATTCCAAAATTCAGGGTGGCTCGAAAATCTCTGCTCTACTACACCTCACAGTGGACATATATAGGAATGAGCTACTAGATATTATCTCCTCAATGTGGGAGTCAACGCTGAGAAGAATATGATTCGATTACGTTTTACTGACGTTTATTTTCGACTCGACCTTTTGGGTGGAATCTGACGCCACTCCAGCAGTTTTGAAGACTGTTAGGCTATAATGGGGTTCATACGACAATTTTACGAGCTGTGCTCTGAAAATAACCTTGCAAATATATCGAGACAACTGTGAATGGGAACTTTTAAGCACTCACAGAGGAAACAGAAAGGTCTGACGCTATGAGTAAACTATCAAATACTTTATATAAAGGGAAAGTCACTGTCTTTATCGTCTAGTCCATTTGTTTCATGTCTTGAGGATATAAATACGCAGTATATATATCTAATGTACTTTAGACATGATTTCTTTATTCAGACTATCGAGTTACTAGCAAACCACTTAACATGGATGTCTTAGGACTCTAGTTTTCAAGTAGTTACTGAAGCATTATGTTATTGTATTCACAGGTAAATAATTTCTGAGGGAAGAATATATGAGTACAAGATGAAGAAAAGTGGTAGCATTTGGTATTTGCAATCACTATTGGTGCTTCTTTCTATGGTACTAAACACTGAAGCAAAAATCCAAGGTACGTTGCTACGCTGTTAAACCATTCTATTGACCTGGACGGTTTGGATTTCTCTGTCGCAAACTCAATAACTCTCTTTTTACGCCTTTTTAAAGTAAATGAAAGGTTTACAGAATGTATTTTATGAGCTATATATGCGGCTGAAAATATATTCGTCGAAGATAAAGTTGAAAACAAATATTGGAGACCATTCTATATATTGACCTGGAAAATTTGAATTTCTTTGTTGTGAACTCTGTATAGCTTCGTAAAGTAAGGGATATGGGTTTCATATGATGTATTTTATGATCTACATATGGGGTATATCGGATATATTTGTGGAAGTTAAAATAATACGCGGAAAGTTGAAAATAATATCCAAGAAATTGAAACCATACTTTAGTTTTGACCTGGAAAGTTAAAGTTATTTCTTAAACCCACTAAATATTTCTTTCTACGTCGCTTTTAGATTCCTAATACTGTGTATTGTAATTTGGAAGAACTAATTAACATGTTTTAACTGCGAAAAACGAATATCACTTAGCTTCGTCGGAAACGGAACTACCAATAGAATATTCTCCGCGCCAAAAAATGACTTTGAACCGGCTTGACAAATTGTGGCGCATTTATATTGTGACAGCTTAGAAAATTTTGTTTTTACAACGATATTTAGACTTTGATTTCCCAGTTGTGCAAGCTTCGTTCAGACTATTGGAATACCTCTCAAGCGGACAAATCATAAAGCGAATATTTTGAGAGCAGAACTGTCTCATTATTAACACATGTTGTCAGTAATTAAAACTGGAGAACAGCTTTTGTTAGTATATAGTTCACCCTAACGTCTGCCCTTTATAATATAAAAATATCAAGGTTCAGACTCATGGGGAAGAGTACATGACAGCTGAATACCCTCAGCATCATTAAGGCATGGCTCTCAGATGAAAAACTGATTAGCTATATCATAGCCAGTTTTCTACGAATCTTCCCCAAACTTGGCAAGTTAATGTCTTTTGTGAAAAGAAGGAACCTTAGAGCCTTGGTTACCATGGAAACTAAGTCACGTGACCACAAGACCGCCATCTTGGATTTTTGAACAAGCCGTTTGTAAACGTACCGAAACATCTTTAAAAGTCATGAAAA